TTAATTTTTTCAGTTGGATTGTAGAAATCATTCTCCTTCCATACATCTTCATCTGGCAATTGTAGGGTGTCGTGAGAATCAAAGGCCCATCCTATGTCTTCTTCAGGATATTCAGTCTCGAAATGATCTCCAAGTGCGATGATCTATAAAAAACACAGGACGCATGTATTTAGGATGTTGCTTCAGTCACAAGTTGTTACAGGTCTGCAAACAAGTTGCTACAAATCTGTGCACAAGCTGTCGATAAGTTGTGTTCGCACTGGTTGTTCCCATGCGTTGTAACAAGTTTGGAACAAGCTGTTGACAACTTGTAACAAACTTGATATCAGACTTGTTACAAGGTTGTTCTAACAAGTCTGATACAGTCATGATATAACAAGAATGTTACAAGGTTGATGATACAAGGTTGTAACAATATTGTTATATCATGACTGTATCGGACTTATTGGAACGACCTTGCAACAAGTCTGATAATATCAACAAGGTTGTTAAAAGTTGTTAACAGCCAACCATTAAAAAGTAAAAATAAAATCTAGCCAACCTTTAATATCAATTAAAAAACTCATTACTAATTCATGAGGAAAATACAAAAGAAATGAATGTTTAATCGATGTTTGTAAATCGGATAAAGATTTGTCCTGATTTACATAAACTTCAGCTTTGATTTTCTCGACTTAGACAATGTTTATTTTTAAAATTTCTTTGCCAACGAACTCATAAGATGGGTCGTTTTTTAAGCACGCATCTCGCCTTCGGTTCAAGTTTGTATATCAGATAAAGATCGGCTGCTCATGTTTTATCTAGTACTTAAAAATAAATACCAACCCCTGGCCCTGCATAAACGTTACAAAAGGATACCATTCAGTTGTCACACATGTCCTTTACCACTTCTGTGACATGAGTTTGATAACTGCTTGTGCAATTTTCTGCAGTCTAAAGTTTCATGTTGTCTGCACATGTACTTTCTTTGGAGACGCCATTTGCCTCCTGACAAATCGGAAAATGATCAAGATATTGACTCTGATTGATTTACAATTTCATGTAATATTTCAAATCCGACTATGAGGACTGGACTAGCTAGATTTCAAGTCCGTACATGCAATTTGGATCAAAATGCAAAGACTCAAAATCTAGTCCAGTCTGAATGGACCTTTCCCCTTATAACTAAAATTTGGATCTAGACAAAAATTTCATCACAGCTTGAAAGAGCATCACAAAATTAGTAATATTCAATTTCCAAAGTTTTGTTGCAAAATCTTGTAAAATGCGGATAATATAGCCTTGCGAAGTTTGCCGTTTTTCAGTCATTTTGTATTACAAACGGGAAGTTGACATCCGATTCGGGTGTTGGGGCTGCAATTTGCCATTTGTAATGCAAAATGACTGAAAATTGCAAACTTTGCAAGGCTCTATTTTCCTCATTTTACAACATTTCGCAACGAAACTTTGGAATATTACTAATTTTGTGATGCTCTTTCAAGCTGTGATGAAATATTTGTCTAGACTTGCAAAGATCAAAATTTTGGTTATAAGGGGAAAGGTCTATTGGAGGACAGTTTGAAATGACATCTCGTACGAATAAATCACTACAACCAATCCAAGGACTGAATTAATTTTGATCCACCCGATTGACAAATCTCGTACTCGCGCTGCTAAAGTACGCATTAGTATCACAGAGGAGAGATATACAGAGAAGAAACTCGCGGCAAATTATGTCACGCACTTTTTATACTGATATATTAGCCGTTTCCACATTAGAAGACGGATAAGTCGTCTAGACGATAGCCAGTTCATTTCACGAAACTTTTGCTAAATAAATTGTTATGTTAACACTTTTAATAAAAAGAAATCAATAAAAGTGATCGCTTACCGTTATTCTACAATAATTTATTGAACAAAATTTCCATGGGTATCTCATTTTTTTTAAAGCGATTTTTACCTTTTGAACGGTGTTTTCCCTATATGCTTTTGCTATGAAATTTCAGCCACGGCACTGGCTGGGAAATATGACGCGAGCATCAACTGTAATTTTTTCTTCTTTGTATATCCCTCCTTTGTGTTAGTATTGCCCTTGTCGTTTACCTGAGTGTTGTCGGTTCTTTTTGAAAGCTTACCAAAGTGAGCATCGTTGTTTAAAAACCTGGACAATTCCGCTGCATTGTAGTGTGCCAAAGGTTTTCCTGAGTTGTGAAATGGGCGTATACTTTCAATATAAATTAGGATAGTGTGATCATTTGACATATATTGCTCAGCCTTCATCGCCCCTGAGACTTCCTCAATTGCGGACTCAACTTTCTTCCTGACATCCGACGAAGTTAGTTTTGTATCCTTGTTGATTTCGTAAATATATGATATGCGCAGTCTGAGAATGTTGTCGCTAAACTCTTCTTGTTCAGCTTGACTAACATGCCGTTGAAAATTCTACAATTTTTCACCAAGTATAATGCGTTAGTATATTACTCGCACTTTCAAACGCACGTCGCTATGTAATGCACGGAAAAGTTATAAATCTTTCTAAATTCATTTATATAAATATTGAGTACAAGCGCAAAAATCTCACATCTTGTAGCGAGTCTGCTGACAAGCTGTCAAAAAGTTGTTTTCGCACTGTTTGTTCCAAGTTGTTGTAACAAATCTGGAACAAACTGGTTGTTAACAACTTGTAACAAGCTTCACGGATGGCATTATCAGACTTGTGGCAAGGTTGTTCTAACGAGTCTGATACAGTCATGATATAACAATATTGCCACAACCTTCTGTCGTCAACCTTGTAACATTCTTGTTATATCATGACTGTATCAAACGTGTTAGAACAACCTTGTAACAAGTCTGAGAATGCCACCAAGCTTGTTACAAGTTGTACACGTAAAAACGCACAAGTTGTTACAGGTCTGCAAACGATTTGTTACAAATCTGTTCACAAGCTGTCGACAAGTTGTGTTCGCACTGCTTGTTCCCAGTTGTTGTAACAAGTTTGGAACAAGCTGTTAACAACTTGTAGCAAGCTTGATGGCATTGTCAGACTTGTTACAAGGTTGTTCTAACAAGTTTGATACAGTTATGATATAACAAGAATGTTGCAAGGTTGATAACACAAGGTTGTAACAATATTGTTACAGCACGACTGTATCGGACGTGTTGCAACAACCTTGCAACAAGTCTGATAATATCAACAATGTTGCTACAAGCTTGTTTCAATCTTGTTGACAACTTGGGACAAGCAGTGCGAACACAACTTGTTGACGGTTTGTTAGCTCTAGACTTGCTACAAGATGTGATATTTTTACGCGTGTACACGCGTATAACTTTATACATAAAATGAACGAACCTGTATTCTGAGATCGCCCAACGTGCTTGGAAATATTCGCACAAGAAGCAAGACGTAAAATATGTTAATTAGCATGATCGCAGTCGAAACGACGCGCAAGAGTTTCACGCCATTTTAATTCGACAAAAACGATAATTAATTCATTGATGAGGTAAACATATTGAATTTGTGTGATTGCGCATGCGTTCGGATGGGGACTTTGAATTTGTGATTAAGGATTAGTTTTAAGGATTAAGCGATTAACGATTAAGGCTAGTTTTGGATAAAGTTTACGGTTAAATTGAAGTGTAGTTATACAGAGGATTCCAGCTATATAGACTTAATTTTTTATGCATGTAGACAAGGACGACGAAATCTATCATTATAGCTCGAAAGAGCATCCTAAAATCAGTAAAATTGCCAAATATAACCCTGTGAAATGAGAAAATTTTGAGTATTTTAATATTACGCGCGGAAAAATGCACCGCTTTCGGCTCAAAGCGATGCATTTCTCCAGGCTTAATAGTAAAATATCCAAACTGACCATTCTTCCACGGATCACTGATTAAGTATTGGGGAAAAGGAAGATCCATTGTTTCATGCGAAACATGGAGGTAGGATCCGCAGCGAAAGACCAGCAAGGACAGTCGAAAATGGGGTGGGACGGTGGTCGCCTTAAACCACACGTCACAAAATGATATTCCCACCCTCACCCATCCCTCCATCGCTAACGATCTAATCTCTTTACTCGAACACTTCTTCCCCATGGCGATCAGCACAAAACAAGCTGTATTACAGAAAATCCTACCTTTTATGTATTTCCCTCCATTAACTATTCAATAAACATACCGCTTATGCATATTTTAACACTTAGTCAGTTCCCGCGGAACATTTTCCCACGCGTAATACTAAAATACTCAAAATGTGCTCATTTCACAGGGCTATATATTTTTCGTATTTTACAAGATTTTTCAAACCAAATTTGGTTGTTAAGCTATAGTTAAGCTATTTAATGATAGATTCGTCCTTCTTGTCCGAATCAAAATTTAGTTTACAACTGGAAATCTGGAATCATCGATTCCATTTAAAAACCTGTTAGACTGAAAAAATGTTTAGACTCCCTTTAAATAAGAGCCGGTAACTTAGGCTAGAATTTCGGTTTAGGCTAGAATTTTAAGCTGCTTCTTATTTTATCAAATAAAGTCAAAACTGAAAATTTATAAATTAAAGAAAATAAGCTCTCCACAAAGTAATGAAAATGCCCCAAAACCCTGGAAATGTCAGCGTTTGACTTATTGCCTTCATCAGGGCGCTGTAAAATACGGGCGTATTTTAGAGCGCCCTTGTCTTTATATATATATAATTTATTCTATTTTCTAATATATTTTACAAATTACAAAAACACCTAGTTTACTTTCTAGCATTCATCAAACTTTTACTCGAAAACACTGTCTGAGCGTAAAAGCCTCACAGCTTGCTGGCCAACAAGATGTGTTCGCAATAGGCTTGTATATAGCAAGCTTGCCAACGTATTGTAACAATGTTGATATTTCTTCAAGTTGCTACAAGGTTGTCACTCACAACTTGTTGACAAATTGTTGAACTGCAGGACGATAATAAGTTGTTGGAACAACTTGTAACAAGTCTAATTGGGCTCAACAACCTTGTAGCAAGTTGTCAACAAGCTGGGAACAAGCAGTGCGAACACATCCTGTTGACAAGTTGTTGGACCAGCATTGCTACAAGTCTGCTGTGGGTTTGTTACAAGTCTGCAAACAAATTGTCAAAAATCTGTTAAAAATATTTTGTCTTCGCACTGCTTGTTCCCAGTTGTTGTAAAAAGTTTGGAACAAGCTGTTAGCAATTGTAACAAGCTTGATGGCATTATCAGACTTGTCACAAGGTTGTTCTAACAAGTCTGATACAGTCATGATAAACAAGAAGGTTACAAGGTTGACGACACAAGGTTTGTAACAATATTGTTATATCATGATTGTGTCGGACTTACTGGAACAAGCCTGATATATCAACAAGGTTGTCACAAATTGTTAACAGCTTGTTCCAAACTTGTTGACAACTTGTGACAAGCAATGCGAACACAACTTGTTGACGCTTGTTGACAAACTTGTGAGCAAGATGTAAGAAAATCTGCGGTGTTTGGCAGAATCAAAATGGAAGTCAATGATTGATTGATGCAAGATTATAATGACCAAAAGATACTGCAAGAATTGAATCCAAGTCACAACATATGCATCGAGCGACCAGGCGTAGTTTCATCAAGGCGGAAACTAAGTTTCTTGTCTAAACGTTTGCGTTTTAGAACTTTCTGATCTGGTCAACATATTCGGGCAGGATACTGTCAAGTTTCAACACTTTTATCGTCTGTTTATGGCTGTTCGCTGAGCTCGGGTGTGGATAAAGAAGTCGAAAACTTGCCGAGTTATGTCGCTCATCTTCAAATATTATAATGGTTCGAATTTCCTCTTCACTGCAACCTGGATGTTAATTGTAATATAGTGTTAGTAATAAATTAACAATATGTCTGCGAAAATTGATACAGTAAAATGTTACTTCGCAGATCTCAGAATGACATTTCGTCAAAACCTTTTTATTCAAAATTGGTTTGGAAATGAACTTGGAGTAGGGTTAGGTTAGGGTTAGTGTTTGGAATAGGATTAGTGTTAGTAAAACCGTTGCTTTTATACGTTTTGTCACTCTGAGGCCAGCGAAATAACCAAGAACCTAGATTTTCCAAGTTAGCCTAAATAGGTATTATGTAAATGGTGCTTACCAGGACATTAGGCTATAAAAGAGTTCTTAAATAGGTTAGATTCTTATTTTCTTAAAAGAAAAGCGACTCATTTTAGGGAAGTATGGTATATGATTTATATAAATTATGCACAAATTATCTAAAAAAATGACAGCGTATACATGCCCCCCCCCAAAAAAAAAAAATTTTACGGTCGGGCAAATCCATGCGTGATTCGGGCAAAACATAAAAATTTTGAAAAAATTATGATATGTCTGGAAATTTTTTGTATGTTTACGAAAATTATGGGATATTAAGGAAAATTTTTTGATATCTCAGGAAAATTTTTTTGTGACTCCTCCCCCGCCCCCCTGCTCGCCAACGATTTTGGGGAGTAATATTAATTAGCGACTAAAATAAGGTAAAAGCTAGCAATAATCTTGATGATTTCAGGTAAAGTCCTCGCAACGGACCTGCGGTCGGGCAAACTAATACTTCCCGTACGCCCATGAGTGTATATGCTTTATACCAACTCTATATGCACTTTAAAGTCTTTAAAGCTACACTGATTGTAACTTATGACTTAATTTTGACTCTATTTGATAATGTAAGAATCTGTTTTGAAATTCTAGCCCGAACAGGTTCTTATTTAAAGGGTGTCTAAATAAAGAATCCAGAAAGTAACGAGATACTTGCCACAAAATGAAAATAACGAAGTAAAACGTTACTTCTTAAAACGACTTCGTTGCAAATAAAAGTACTCCAGAAAAAGTTTACTTTGTTACATGCCGACTTCACAAAAATGGTACTCAAGTACAGTAACGAAGTACATTTACTTCGTAACTTGACACCACTGCTAATTTCTCTTTGGACACACTCGGATAAAACCTAATTTCTAATTGTAAAAATTATTGAAATCTAATTATAAAAACTAAAAGACGCAAAGTTTGATGAATGCATGATAGAAGGTAAATTATAGGTGTTTTTGTAATTTGAAAACAATCAAAATATAATGGAAGTGGGGATTGAATGGATTGAATTATAAGATTAGTTGCCCTTATTTGACTTATTTCTAAGTTGTCACCAAAAATTTTTATAAAATCAGTATTTTCCCGACGGCAAATATCAGTTGGATACGTACCACCTCTATTGCTGCAAAATGAGAGCAAGTTGTCTGTGAGCTTGTCCTTATATGGTTTTCTATCATATTTCCCTACGAATATTCACAGAAAATTAAACACGTCATTTTTAAAGCCAGTCTGATAACTGATTGTTAGGAAGTGAGGAACCTGACTTCCTGAGTCACTCAGTTCTTTCGAACATGTCTTACAAATCCTTCAAGATCACAAAAGCTTTGATAGTGAATCAAAGATAGATTATTAATGAATGGGGAACTAGGTCCTTTTAATACCTCGAAATGATCCACTAAGTTTAATAAGATCTTGTATCAACATCGTCATTTGTCTGAAAAATAATTCAGCGATTCAGCGTTAGTTCAGGGTTTTATTCTAATCTTGCAATATGCAGTTGCGTGATTAAAATTTCCCATGTGATAGAACTGCTAAAGTTTTTCAGTAGAAATAAGGTTAGCGGTGGCTAATGTTAGATCATGCATCCATTGATTACCTTGCTCTAAAAGTCTCACTGCCCAGGGTCTGGAATCCTGGATCGCAGTCCACATCAATAACGTGTGGTTTCCTGTTGTTATCCAGCAGAATTTTCACGTGAAATATGACAAATCTATATAATCATCATGCAACAGAATGTAATTAGCCCCCACAAAAATATTATGTTTCTGGTAAGCGCGCGCGTCATCTTTGACTGTGCGCGTCAACGTTTTATTTTTGTGAAAACCGCAGAACATCTTAAAGAAATTTCAAGACAATTTTCTTCCCTGATCAAGGAAATCTCATCTCTGAAATTTTGACACGAAAGTAATATGTTACATGTTTCGAAATACATATTAGTACTCAAACGTACTGTATATCTTGGCTGCGCATGATTTTTGTGAGAGAATAAAGCATATTCTTGTGATATTTCATATTTGATAAATTTCTGTTATTTTATACGCTTGAACATTTACTATTATTCTATGGTAGTTCTCATTTTATTATATGTAAACTTGGTGACAGCTTCAAATGTACCTGGCCTAACCTCAATTCTTCTAACATCTCATTTCTAAGAAAGTTTAAAATGATATTGTAAGTTGTAACTTATTTTAAAGATTTTCGTTTGCACACTTTGTCTCTGAGTTATTTCAGTTTTATTGATATGCAAATGTCCGGAATTTACGTCACAGATGAATAATGACTGATTAAAGAATGTAAGGTACAGTTAAATATCATATAATAACAAGGCTATAAAGTAAATGGTGTTTTACATAGGTATGTAATCCTCACACAACCCCAAACTTCAAAATGAAATGATAAAAAGAATTGAGGCTAGGTGCACTTTGAATGTGTTCACTTGTCGAAACTAGAAATGCACTCGCCATTTTTGCAAAAAGCGTTCCCTTCAAAAGAAATGAAATAAAAATACGGGCGCGCTTGGCGCGCGTCAATTAATTGTGGACAAACAAACTAGCCAGAAACAAATTTCTTCAATCTATCAGTATCAATATCAGTTGAAGTAAACAGCCAACAAACAAGCGGGCAAATAAACAACACAATTTACACAAACCAAAATCTTACCCATTTTTCTTCAAAGCAAGATATTTTGCTTTTTCTTTGCTATAATTATTATCCAAAATCTCGGAGGAAGTTGACGCCGTTAATATGGCGGTCTGTAGCAACGCGTCTCGGACCTGCGCGGCAGTGTGTGAAACATCGATATTTCTGTGCGACAAAACTGACCAATAATATTTCAATGTCCAGACCAGCGACTCGGGCGCATTGACATCCCATGCTTTCGAAGGAGAGTTCAGATTTTTTGTACACCATGGCGCTGTATAGATATCTAAGTGCATACAGCTCTCATTTCTGTTAGCCTGGTCAGTTTTATAAGGCATTTGCGAGAATGCTACATCGCCAAAATCCGATATATAAACCCTTAAAGGATCTAACGATTTCACCAATAAATAAAACCTCAACAGATGTTTACGTTTGTTTACTAAAAACGGTTCGTGAACGTACTGTTCAATACTAGTTAGCGCTCGAGTTTGGTACAACGTTTTACGAGCGCCTGATTTAGTTTTAGAAAGCGGCTGCGCTTTCTGCTTCTGAAGGAATGACACCACGTCGTCTCTGTGAAGTATTGTTAACCCTTCGCTCGAACCTCTGAGGCTACCAGCTTTACGCAACAACCAGAGTCCCTTTGGTAACTGGTCGTGTTTCAACGTGGTGTTTCCATCTAGGATGAAGCATTTTGGAAATGCCTGGAAATCGTTGAGGTCGTGCATTCGCGATAGTTTTTCTAGTGTAAGACAGAGTTTCTCTCGTAAACACACATTGCTTAGGCCTGGTATAATATTTGTGAACTGCCACACCTAAAAATAAGAGACGATATTATTATAGTACACCGCGTAAAATCACGCAAGTTGTTATAGATCTGCAAACAAGTTGTACAGTAACAAGGTTGTTGTCGAGCCGACATCAGGACTTGTTTGTACTCGGCTTGTTCCCAGTTGTTGGTTGATGATGGTAACAGACTTGCTACAAGTTGTTCCAACTAGGCTAATACAGGCTGTTCGTAACAAGTTGCTACGAGCTTCTTGTCATCAACTTGTTAACAACATTTTACGTGCAGCCCCCATCAGACTTGTTGGAACAACTTGTTGCGAATCTGCTGGCCTCATCAACAGTTGAGAACTGATAGAGCTATCCAATATAAACAAAGTTAGTTTAGTTTAGGTTTCCTCCAATAGTAACACTGGATCAATAAGAGATGACCCTTACTGGACCTCTAGGAAGAACAGTTTAGAACTGATAGAGCTATCCAGTATAAATAAAGTTAGTTTAGTTTAGGTTTCCTCCTGTACTAACACTGGATCAATAAGAGATGATCCTTACTGGACCTCTAGGAAGATCAGTTTAGAACTGATAGGTACCAGTATAAATAAAGTTAGTTTAGTTTAGGTTTTCTCCTGTAGTAACACTGGATCAATAAGAGATGATCCTTACTGGACCTCTAGGGAGAACAGTTTAGAACTGATAGAGCTATCCAGTATAAATAAAGTTAGTTTAGTTTAGGTTTTCTCCTGTAGTAACACTGGATCAATAAGAGATGATCCTTACTGAACCTCTAGGGAGAACAGTTTAGAACTGATAGAGCTATCCAGTAGAAATAAAGTTAGTTTAGTTTAGGTTTCCTCCTGTAGTAACACTGGATCAATAAGAGATGATCCTTACTGGACCCCTAGGAAGAACAATTTAGAACTGATAGAGCTATCCAGTATAAATAAAGTTAGTTTAGTTTAGGTTTCCTCCGGTAGTAACACTGGATCAATAAGAGATGATCCTTACTGGACCCCTAGGGAGAACACTTTAGAACTGTCGAACTGATAAAGCTATTCAGTGTAAATAAAGTTTGTTTAGTTTAGGTTATATATAGATTTCCCCTCAGATACCAAAACAGTTCTTTATCTACAGTATATAGCACTATTTCCGGGTTAATGATATCACAGACATCACATCAGTTTTCCCTTTGTCTCAAAGTGAGATATCAATATCGCATTTACAACACTTCTGATAAAAATCAGCAGAACGTCCTTATCAGTTATTATTCCTCCTAATGTTTGTTTAGGATAGTTTCATAAATTTAATGACGAGATAAGATACAATGTCCGAATATGTGGTGAATAATATAAAGAGTCCAGTCTTTAAGTACGTCCTTAATCTCAAATGTAAACACTCGCACGGGCACCAAACATTTTTTGTGCGATTCAAGAGCATTATTTAATTTTATTGCACACTATGGGGGAAATGTCAATAGAATTGCGTGCCATTGCATAGCAGGAAGGGATTGCTAGTTATTGGTTGAACTTTGCTGGTTCGGAGTGATACGAGCTACCATTTTAATGTTTGATTTCGTCTCCTGAGTCCTGTATAAGTATTCTCTCCGAGTTGACCATGCATCGACTCATGAACAAGTATATACAAGGCTGAAACACTGAATGACTGTCTGGTTTACACTAGCAATTAAAGTTTCTGTGATCACAGTGGGAATTTTGTATCGGTAAATTCTATGTTTTGAAGGATTTGTAAGAAAAGTTTGAGCAAACTTAATGTTAAATAGGCCTACTGTCGAGTCTGTTTTCTCAAACATTTCTTACAAATCCTTCAAAACTTAGAATTTACCGTTGCAAAATTCCTACTGTGATCACAGAAACTTTGATCGTGTAAACCTGAGCCTTGGCTTAGGCAAGTGCTAAACCACGGCAGCTTATTGAAGAATATACGTACTACCTACACTGGACCACCACGTTTGAGATATCTTTTTCAGGTAGTTCGGACACAAACCACGACAGCTTATTGTAGAATACTATCTATATACACTGGACCACCACGTTTGAGATATCTTTTTCAGGTAGTTCAGACACAAAAAACCACGACAGCTTGTTGTAGAATACTACCTACAACTGGACCACCACATTTTAGCCGGAAATCTTGTACAGGTAGTTCAGACACAAACCACGACAGGCATAGGCATACGGGATTGATGCTTTCCAGGGGGGCAGTTGAAAGTTTGTCCGAATTTTTATGGAGGATTGTAATGAAATTGCCTGAATTTAACCTATTTTCTGATAAATCTGCTCGAATTTTCTTGAATTTTCCTAACATTTGTCCGAATTTACAGGGTTTTCCAAAATTGGGGGGGGGGGCAATTGCCCCCCCTGCCCCCTGTCTCGTACGCCTATGACGACAGGTTATTGAATATTGTGGAATACTATACCAACACTGGACCACCACATTTGAGCCGGAAATCTTTTCAGGTAGTTCAGACACAAACCAGTACCACTGCAACTTATTAAAGTATATTCCATCTACACTGGACCCCTACGTTTGGTATACAATGAGCTTAACCATGCAATGAAATCTCCCACACAAAATGAAAAAATCCCTCTTGTAACTCGCACACTTACCTTTGATAGTTTAGGAACGCCAGATACTCCGTTTGTGAGCGACACAGTCCAGTCTTTATCACTTTTGTCCACAATATCAAATCCATTCTCTCGAAAGATTTTCTTCAATTCCAAACCACTGTATCGCGTACAAGTGCCACTCCGACACACAGGTTTATACAGAAACACCGGCGTCCGTGGCCCGTGACTAAGTTGATCCAAAATGCTTTCCACGCTCTTGCCAAATAATGGCACACGCGTTCGCCAATTTCCGCCTTCCAAAATCGATCTGCCTTCGATGGTTCGATCCTCTGTCGGTGCAAAATTAGTCGTGAACATTGTGTAGGTCAGAAACGAGACGTTAAACACGGCCAAGACGAATAATACAAACATCAAATTCTTGTATATGTGACAACGCATGATGCCTATCTCCACGTTGATAATTTGATATGTTTATATAATGTTTTATATCCGACCGAGCTGAATACTTGAATTTGATGTTATCAATTTACACAAAGCGAATGATATTGGTCTCGTGTTTGTCGCTTTCCGACTTAAGCTGGCCAGTTAAGGTTTGTTGATATACGCTGTAGCCCTATAGCAGTGCCCTATAATCCGAACAGTTAGCATTTCGTGCTTGCCCTTATTAATAGACAAAGGTCATTTGCAACTGCATTGATGATTCATCAAATTCTTCAAACATGAGTACCATCTGCGGTTTACATTTCAAATTCGCATCGATCAACGAGTATTCTTGCAAGTTCGCAACATACCATGCCATACCATACCATACTATTACACAATTCACCCATCAATAAGCGACTGTTCGCTATAGGGACTTAGGAAACTCTAGCCGACCGCCATTGCAAAGCTCACATAAAAACAAACAAGATGTTATCTTATAAACAGCAGGGACTAAATTATACTCCTGCAGTTGTAAGACGGTGCTGAATGTCAAACGCTTGAGGCAATGTTGAGAAGAAATGGTTTGAACTCGGCTTTAGATATCAAATTTATAACATCGAATGTTGAGTTTGGTCGGACAGCCACGAGTGTTGAAACGCTGAACAGACTCAATTTATTCTGATCGACCCAGCAGACCGAAACGGCAGCGCAAATCGCCAAATTACATGCAAATTTCTTCCTGCACTTTACTGACTATATCGTATGCCAGGCTATTCATTTAAATCCGCTTAACTCTTTAATTAACACAGGATGTTTATTTAATTTGGCACGAATGCAAAGCATTTGAAATGACATTTTTCTCATTTTTGAAAGGCTACACTGTTTTTTATCAGTTGATGGGTTTCAGAAAAATAGAGTCACGATCTTTCTCAACGGCCGGTTTATAAGTTTATACCTGTAAACCACATATAAATCATAAGTATTCTCTAGTTATAATCACTCCGCGTATTTTCAGTTCTAAAATGTTGTATTTCGGCTGATGAGAAAGATCGTGACTCAATCTTTACGACCGTGAAAAATCTTATAGTCCTCAGGCAGGAATTGAACCTACGGCCCTGCGGACTCCGGTGCAGTGCCCTAAAGACCGATTCAGACTACTGACAATTTTTGCCTAAAAACTGTCGCATGCAACCTGCTTACAACTCGAGTTGTACTGTGTGAATCAAGCACACAACTCTCACACGACAATGTAAGCAAGTTGTGTGATTGATTTACACAGTACAGCTCAAGTTGTAACTTGTAAACAGGTCAGTACGCGACAGGTTTTGGCAAACGTTGTAAGTGTGACTCGGCCACAGTATATGAAAACTACAGTAGGGCCACTCAGTGTAAAAAAGTGTCCACATTGTTTACTGGCTGCCAACCTAATTTACATATTGGCAGCCAGTAAATGGCAGCAGTTCACTATAAAATTGTATTACAGAGTAATGAGTTTGGCCGCGTAAAACACCTGGGACCTAGCTTAAATAATTCCCACTTTTCTCTCCCCTAAGTGGCCCTACTGGTTGTCTCCCTATACTGTGACTCGGCCTTAACCAACTGAGCTACAGAGGCCAGTTGTCAAGATATTTATTAATTTACCCATACACTTTAGTACTAAGCTTACATTGGCATCGTCTTGGGCCTGTTTCAAACGCCGCGCTTCTCATGTCGGCGAACGCATTGATAATCACGCCCATTGTGGAAACCAGCTTTAGCTGACAATGTTAGCGTGGTTAAATAAAGTTAATATCATCATAACGCATTTCGGTCATTACGTCATTAGGCCAATGAAAATTGATATCATGCTTCTCGTCCACAATTTTCAAAAATTTGGAGCGGGATTTTTTCATTTTTCATTTTTCACTATTTTTTGTATTTGAATTCTGCTTGTCAATAATTTCCTTGACCCAGCAAAAACCCCCATAAAAATCTGAAGTATTAAAAATTGGTGTATAGTTCATTTTAATTTAATACGTCCTACACTACAGTCTACAGTATATTTCTACACATACCAGGGCTGACATGAAAAATAGAGGCATTCTGGCGAGTAATATCTTTAGAAAGATACAATTTGAGTTGCGCTGGTCTGGAGATGAATTTGGTGTTTTTAAGCCTATTTTTCAAAAATAATGAATAATGAAAAATTTTCGTGCGGCAGATAAATCCCATGCGGGCGGGGACGAGAAACATGATATCAATTTTCATTGGCCTCAGAAACAATAGATAACGAGGCATTTCAACTGATTATCTATCGAGTTTTTTATGCGTGAGGCACGCATGACAAACTCGACGTTTGAAACAGGCCTTGGTATACAGTCGGTATAAACTTGTGGGCATATGCGAAATGGTGTCTCCTGAACCTGAAGAAAGTACATGTACAGACAACATGAAACTTTAGACTGCAGAAAAATGCACAAGAAGTTATCAAATCAAACTCATGTCACAGAAGTGGTAAAGGACATGGGTGACAACTGAATGGTAGGTATCCTTTTGTAAAATGTTTGGCCAGGGGTGGGGTAAACATTTTTTTGAGGTTGAGTAAAAAATTTTTTCGGACTTTTTAATGGTTGGATTGGCAAAAATATTACCAAGAAAGACATTTCTCTTCGGTGCTATTCCCCACCATAAATAATGACCAGTCCCTAAGAATGTCATATAAAAAAGCAGCAAAACAGCGTAGTTTTCATATTTAATCTATTTTATTCAATATTTTATAATTCTGCTCTTTCTAAACTCAACAGAGGCTGACATAACTTTCATGATAAAACTTCATAAAAAACTAATCTAACTCTAGAAAATCTTTCAAGTAAAAAATTCGTGTGTTGCTAGTTGCAACATCTAACCAGTGAGCTCCATGTATGTCTGGACTACGAACTCGAGTCCAAGATGGCTGAAATTGACGAGTGACGTTTTGACTTTTGATTTAAAGACCACACGCGTAAAAATCACACAACTTGTCGACAAGATGTGTTCGCAACAGGCTTGTAGTAAGCTTGTCAACAAGTTGTAACAACGCTGTTATTTTATCAAGTTGCTACAAGGTTGTTGTCACTCGCAACTTGTTGACAAATTGTTGAATTGCAGGACGATAACAAGTTGTTGGAACAACTTGTAACAAGTCTGTTGAGGTCAACAACCTTGTAGCAAGTTGTCAACAAGCTGGGAACAAACAGTGCGAACACATCCTGTTGACAAGTTGTCGGAACAGCATTGCTACAAGTCTGCTGCAGTTTTATTACAATTTGTGCGTTTTTACGAGTGTAGTATTATGATTTTATAAACTGATAACTTGACTAGCGATATGTTCCGTTAGAAAAAAACTGAATTAGCTTGGGAAAATGGTATTACGACCTTCGTAGACTTTGCCATTTTGACTTCACTTTTCTCCTAGGCCAAACGGCTGAAGTTCTCATGCCTCAGAGACATACACAGAGCTCACCGCATGTAACAAGTTGATCAGTGTAGATTTGATCCTACTTAAAACTACTCCCAGTACTGGAATGTTTGTTTAAATAACACATATGCTATGTACAATTTTATACAGATAATTTTTTAAATTAACCACCCCGTTTCTAGTTCAAAAGTTGAAAAACCGCGTAAATTTATCAAATTTTAAATTGCTGAAGAAACAGACAATACGCCTTTGGCTTTGCACAAGTGCTAAAATCAGTCGAAGCTGATTTTTGAGATTTCAAAATACTGAAATTTGGGAATTTTCAAAATACTGAAAAGACAACGGAACATTCAGATCACTGGATCGCGACTGAATGCAATAAGTTTTATAGTTTAACTTTTGACCTAAAAACTATACGGGTTTTTGACGTTTTAAATTAAACAACAACAATTTGGTGTTAACACAACGTTAACACAATCAATTCCAACATTCTGTGCAACAATAGAGAACGCTAGCAACTGGATAGGAAACATTTTATGGCCTGAGCATCATGGAATGAAAAAAGACAATTTAATTTAAATTTTTAAGCCAGGTAACATGTGTGGAATAATTATCACCCTGTCAGGTAACTAATACACAGGGTGTTCATCCTTTGGTGAAGGTGAAATTCAAGGACTTTTCCAGGATTTTCAAGGCCCGTGGACACCCTGAATACATTATAGAACAACAACCAATGAACAGCCACGAAATGACTCACGCGACCAAAAGTTTTCTATCCAGTCGAAATATTACCCATGATGCAATCTACAATATCCTAACAATATATTAAATTTTGAACTGAGGTCCGAACATGACGTCAGATATATATATTAACTTTGCATATATATTTTATATATATCTAGGAAGCTCTTGGAGCGATACATTAAACTATGATCTCTTCAGATGACTTTCTTTGTAAATTTAAGATTTCTCTCCTGCGCCACTCGTCGCGTGCGCCGTGCTCGCGTGGGGAACGCGCGGGGGATGGTACCTCTATCGAAGACCTCGAGACTGCGCGCTCGGTTGGTTCGATTTCTGAGACATCAATCTCCTCGGGTTCAATGTCTCGTAGTTCGGTAAACGAGTCTTCTTTCCGAACGCCACGGCTTGCCTCGCTCGCCGTTTCCACTCCATCTCCCTCGGCGTCTTCGCTGTCTCTTCGTTTTAACTTCGCTGTTTCTTCGTACGTTTGTCGACGATGTCGTTCCCGCTGTCGGCGCCGACGTCTCTCGCACATGACGACAAGCAACAAGACAAAAGCAGCGATGACTACCAAGGCTGCTATGACTGGAATGAGATACACAGGAGTTTCTGGAGAAAGATAAAGCAATAATTTCATTTAATACTATGCATGATTTATTTACGAATTTTTTTGTATTTTACGTAATACGCGCTCAAAACTAACAAGCTCAATTAAAAATTTTATTTTTCGATACATTTCTCAATCGGCAACAAACTTAAAAAGTATGCTTAGTGCTCTATCTGTAAAATAATGCTAAAATGAACAGATTTTAGATGGCACGCCAAAGAGAAAATGATGTCTGAAGTTCAGTAAGTTTTGCTTACAGTATATGGCTGTAAATATGGCGTCAATTTTAAAGCATCATTGATAATTGTATTTTAACTGACAATTTTTTACTATTTGATGTTTCTCAACCGGCAAATGCATTTGAAACATTGCTAACTGTA